TTCGTGACATGGGGCATGGGAACAATGGATACCCGCATGAGATCGAGCTGCCATGGTTCCATCGAGCCATAGAGCTGGATGAGACTGAGTGGCGGATACAGCAGGCGATCGACTTGTTCGACCAGCTCATGATTAAAGATACTGACACTTGATCCCTTACTGCGAAGAACATTCCTCATTCGGCACTATTACCACGACGGATTAAGTTTACCCTGAACTTTCGCACCAAGATAACACAGCTGCACACACTTCTAAAACATCTCAATCAATCTAGTCATCGCCATGACTACTCGCAGTTTGTGTCTGTGTGGTCAAAATGGCAAGAGTACGGTTGTACCCTAGGGGACGCTTCTTTCCGCGGCAAGCGCCCACCGCTAAGTCCTCACGCGGTTCAACCACCCTATGGCGAATCGAAGTTCCAACGATGTTCACAAACACGGGACACTCCCTGTCCCCGTCCCCGCCGTCGTCTTGTCTGTGGACTGAGGGCAACGCGTGCAATCGACGATTTGGAAGCTTGGGCTCGATCCACTGGCAGCCGTCTTCGCCCAATAGCTCTTCAAGATTCGTTCATAAGGGAAGACGGTTAAATGCTCTTACTTTCCCAGGAGGCTTGTGGGGCAAATATGACCTATCTCAGAACTCCCTGAATGCAAAGAGATCTACAACGAATAGCGAAGATTACCTGCCCTGTGGTTGCCCCCAAATGCAATAGGTCATGCGGTATTGAAATGTGACAAACAAAATTTTTGATTGCGCATCGCTATCCGATATTATGTTCTACCCGTATGTCACATTACAAGTCGGCCCCCTATCCCCGCAGTTGCGAAATTGCTGCCATCCCTCGCTTCATCCCCGTCTGTTATCTGCAGCTCAGCCCTATTCAACCTTGGACTGCAGCATACCCGACAGCTTGGGTCCAATAGTACCATGCCTTAGCTGGCAAGGTTACATTGTCGGGTGGAACATTGTTCGATACAAACACTGCATTCCATCTACCCATCACTAATTCCCTGGTATCACTGTCTTTTGCCCCTCTTTCCCTATCTTTGGAACTTCTTTTCTCCCCTTCTTATTGGGTAAGTTCCGGTCGTGATATGGTGGTTACAGATCCGCGCGACTCCGCCAGACTGGTTAAGGAGGGGGGTAAAACTTCAGACGTGGGCGTGTGGTGTGCGTGATTTAGCCCACAGCCCAGTGGACTATTCTCTACGGACAGCGACTCGCGATGGGACTTGTGCGTTGTCGGGTTTCCGCCAATCAATGGCATTGGCGATACTACCTCTTCACTTATCACATGCTTTTCAAGTCAATGAATTCATCGAGACACGGTCCGCGTGTTATTCAATCGAACCGAAGAATGGAGGTCAAAAACTGTTAATAGCCCCCAACACTGTTCATGACAAATACCTGAGGGAGTCTGCACACCCTCTCATACACACGACGTTCTGAAGACCGACAATCATATTCGATATATAATTGACCAGCATCTTGACATGTTATCACCGCGCATAACAGCCACACACATAGGTCATCATGTGACATACAACGCATACATCCGTTCATTATCACAGAATACGAGGAAGCCAATAGTGCCATCAGATGTTTGGGAATATCTAGACGGCGATTGCTGAAACTGTGAAACTGAGGTTTTGTATCTAATATATTGAAAATAAACTAACCTTACATATCCACCCAAAAAACATAATTCAATACAAATCTGCCTTATCGGCACTTGTTCCTCACAACCCCACACCCAGGCAGTGCGCGACTCGACACGTGGGTGCCACAAGCCGGCATCGTATATATCCGTAAGGCTATGCAAGGAAGAGAGCACTCCCGGACTGGGGGCGTGTCAATCTGGTTGCTTTCTTCCCTATCTTTCTCGGTGCCATCCTCTTAGATCCCATGTGCCGACGTCATAGCCCGTTTTTCTATCATGCAGTGTAATAAGGTTTTGACTGCGTAGGCCGTTGCAGATCCGGACAAATCGAAATTTCATTTTTTTTTTATCTTGTTGGCCATGACAGAGATGGGCATAGCGTCGCCAACACCACCAAGCTCCCACACAAGAGCAATTATCCAGTCCCTAATCCCTTACTCCCAGCCCCTAATAATTCTCTAAGCTTTACACTGATTGCATCATTGTTGGCGTCTGCTTGGTTTCCTTGAAACTGGCAGTACTGCGGTCCACATACTACTACCCTAGAGGAAACAACGTGATTCGAGAGAGGGATATGCTATTAGAAGGCCAGGTTTGAGCGATCATTAGCGACGTTAGCCTCCTTCTAGTCTAGAACGGCTAGGTACAGGTATATAGGCGTGTAGGTTAAGGAGAGTACGTAAGCATTTTATGTTGGCATATTTTAACTTTTCTTCCTACCTAATAAAGTCTACGACGTGCGTTAGCTAGCCTGCCTCGTGCAACGTAGCGTTATAATCGTAAAGTATATAGGCATGAAAGGGATGGTTAAGGGGCAAAGTGAGACAGGCACTTGTAAACGGTAAGCTACCTAGGTACCTGGACTGATATGGACTGAGGTGATCACTAACGTATGCTGGCGAACGAGCAAGAGCCGCAAATGTGATATCATGTGTCAAGGCCGCTGGGGGAGAGACAACCACACAGCCTTGGATTTTTAGCAGTTCTGAGGTGAGGGTAGGTAGGTAGGCAAAATGCCAGGGGACCTATACTAGGCGGCCGGTATTGCCTTGATAGTTGCAGGAAAGGTGGATCTACATGCAGAGGCATGGAGTACTCGACTTGGTCGATAGCTATGATTGGTTCTTAGCCTACCATTTACCAACCGGGAGGCGATGCGGCTCTCAAGGGAGGTCGAGGCTCTTGTTTTGGCTTTGACTCGAAAAGCTAGAAAGAAGGAATCTTGGCGAATGAGTACATGTTCATATAGAAATCTTGAGAAACTCGGAACTACGAACTAAAACTCGCGGATGCGAGAACAGAATTTCTGGCGTACCTGGTCTGACGAGTACCGCGCAGGCGGTGTAAAAAAAAAATGGCACACTTCTACTAACATCACCACTTATTGCGTCACTTAGTATAGCTGCATTTCAGCTTTAAATCTATTTTTTCTTAAAAATTATAATTAATAATATTCTAATTCTATTTGAATCAAGATTTAACAAAGCTACGTTTTATATTACGGTTATATTGAGTAATTTCGTAAAAGGGTATATTAAAAATGTGCCATTTTTTTGTTCCACCGCCTGCCGCGTTCTCTCACCATTCATTCATTAGTGCCCTGTTTTTGGCGCTAAACTACCTAAGGTATGGTGTGGTTTCGGCAATGCATTCAGAAATTTTGTATGAGAAGTTTTCTTATCGCCCATTTCGCTTACCACAGAGCCTCTCAAGCAACTCTGGGGAATGCTTGAAAACTAAACTATTCCAAGTTAGGCGCCAAAGCAGGCACTAATGAACATGGAGAGAAAAAGGCGGTAAGCTAAGTTGCAAGCTATCCCTTAGAGTGCCATTTCAACATCAGTACATTTTTCTCTGGGCCCCCATACTGGTTAGTAGGCTGTAAATCTTTCTTGGCATCGATAAGAACTTTCAACCCAATCCGAGTTTGCCAAGACTGTTTTAAACCAATGAGAGCTGACTGGCTAGTATGGGGGCCCAGAGAAAAATGTATTGATGCTGAAATGGCACTCTAAGGGATAGGTAGTGATAGCTCGTTGTAGTAGCCATTGCTCAATTGTGGTAATGATGTTAATGTAGAGGCTTTAATTCTGGTACATGAATCCACCCACCAGTAGCTCTCAGTCAATTAATGGTAGCTACCTAATAAGGTAGGAATCGTCATAACAGGGGAACAGTGAGCTTCCCCTACCTACTTGCCCTGTTATAGTCGAGGGAGCCAGGGCTAGGCACCCTATTAGTTGATGGTAACGTCTCGAGAAACAGGCGAGGCAGGCAGCTTTTCCCCGGAGGGCCTAAGGGGTTGTATGTTAGAAATAAGGCCTGGAAACTTATTAACTTCTAAACCCCAGGCGTTACTTCCAGCCTTGGCTTGGCAGTTGAATAATCCGAAGGCAATAATCGTCAATGTAGGTATTGCTAAGTAATTGCCAAGGCGCTATACCCAGCTGCCAAGCCCTATTTTTATTAGTGCATTACTTATTTAATGGGGCGCTAAATAAGTTCTTTAAAGGGTTCGAATACCTAGTAAGTGGTAGAGGTAATACTTAAGGTACAAAATGGAAAGATACATCCATCGAAAAAACCTTAAGTACTGCCCGCATGCACGTGCCATAAGTCTTAAGGCCTTATTTCTAACATACAATCCCTAAAGGATAGGCTTAGTAGAGTCGGAGGTATAAAGGCTAAATACAGTATCCATCCAACTATGAGGAACTCCAAGGTTAGAGATTAGCGCTGTTAGCTGCAGCATACAAGCTCCCCAACGGCACATCCTTGGTTAATCCGACTTCAACGTCCATGATGCACCCTAAATAGTAAAAGAGATTCCTAATAAATAACTTTACTCAGTAGTTCCCACGCGGATATGCCGCGACAACGGCGTGACCTACTCGACTACCTACCTTGCTCTCGTCTACTGAGACTGCAAAAAATAGCAACCCATCAGCTGGCCCTAAAGGTACTTAGCTATCATACCCCCAAGGGCAATAGCAAGTGGTCTGGTCCGCCTACTGTCTACTATATGCAAACTACCCCAGGTATGTTAGTGAAGTACCTAAGGCAGATAGATGAACTTAGCTCACCTGTTGTTTTCCCGACATACGGATTATGCTAGCGACATCTCCAACCGCTATACGTACTACGAAAACCAAACTTATAAAACAAGGTGACCCCCACCAACTAGGCCACCTCAGCCGACTTTCACTAGCCACCCGCCACTTTCTCACCAACCACGCCATACCCGCTATTCCAAGCTGACCTAATCCTTTTCTAACCGAGAGCTTCTTGAGAATTATAGGGCACATTAACAGCACTGGCGGTTAACTCCGAATACAACGGTCGCGTCGTCTAGCGGTTAGGACATAGGATTTTGATAGCACAATGTTAAGATCTTCCTGGAGCCTGGGTTCGATTCCCAGCGTGACCTTTAGTGCACCATAATTTTTGATCGTCTTTCTTTTACTATTCCTTCCTTATGGTCCAGTTTCCACTATAATCTATTGAACTATAACAACCAAAAGCAGCTTGAAGTGTTTTCTTTGGTTGGGGTGGGGCATTTCTTTTTCAAGTCGATTGATTGTCTGAATGAATGAAACTTTTATCAGTCTGTCATGGTGGCAGAACACAAGCTAAAATGGAGTGACAGACAGACAAGACAGCTTGTCTGCTGGGTACATGGTCTTGCTTGCTTGGAAAGGTACTGACGAGTTTCGAGAGGCAGACAGTATGCTATCAATACACACATACTCTCTCACTTCCCACTTCCTCCCCGGCAAGGATGGCACCCTCGACCTCTTATTGCATTCATATCATGTAGATCAAGTAGATCAAGTAGAAGCAAGGATACAGATTTTCCTCACGATGAACACGAATTACATGTGATGTGCGCGTACTTTGATATACAAATCTCATCAACTGTCCATCTCTGTGCGCACGCATCCCCGCACTCCTACAACACGGAGAAAATACTAACCTACCCCAGGAACAACTCCAAGCGACCATGCAAAGAAGCAAGGCAAGTCAGGTTTTGCCATTCCATGCTCCGCCCATCAGCAAAACTAGCTATCCCATTTACCGCTCGAAAGTAATCAAGTCACGGGAGAGTTTCAAACCCCACCCCGTCCTTTATTCCCAACTGACAGCCTTCAATGACATGACTTCCCTCTTCTTGCCTTCTTGCCTCCGAAGTAGACAAGGTCAACCACATATGATTATATCGCGATTACATCTCCCCACCTCCCTGTGTTCATCATCCATCGGTCATCCAACGCCCTACCATCCCTTAATAAGCAGCGCTCTGCCGGTAATAATCCTGTGGCGCACTAGGCTCGTGTGAAGCAGCCGGGGGCGCATAAGCCTTGTATTGGCCCTGGGGAGTGGGCGCTGAGGGGTGATGTCCCTGGCTAGGAAGAGACTGCCTAGCGTCGTAATGCGGACCGCCGGGCTGTAGAGGAGGTGGTGTCATCACCTGTCCCGGGCCCCCTTGAGGGATAGGAGGAGCCGCACTGGTAGGCTGGGGTGGAGGCTGCTGGGCTTGCTGTGGTTGGTAAGCATTGTACTGAGGCTGATGGACCGGCTGGTGGTGAGCAATGGCCAAAGGTGTAGGAACACCTTGGGGCGGTCCCATTGGCGGTGATGCCGATGGTGCGGGAGGAGCTGTGGGACTATTGAAAGGATCTTCTTGGGAGTAGACCGAAGATGCTGAGTAAGGGTCCGCCGGGTTACCGTGGGTCGCGACGGGGGAGTCATAGGCTGATAATTCCTGGGGATTGCCGTATGTGCTTTGTGGCCGGGGACCACCGAGATGCTGCTGTTGCTGCTGAGTTGGAGGTTGCTGAGAATAAGCCTGGTATGTCGGCTGTTGCTGGGGAGCTGGACTCTGTGCACCACCGTGGGGGATAGGGACTGCTGGTTGTTTACCCGCGGCTATCCGTGACGGCTGGTCTCGTGGTGGGTATTGTTGCTGAGCTGGAGGTTGACTTGGTTGAGGAGGATATGGCTGCGCGGAGGGTTGATTTGCCTGAGGTGGATATTGTTGAGCAGGAGGTTGTGCTCCCGGGGGAGGATACGCTTGCACTGGTGGCTGGCCGCCCTGCGGGGGAATCTCTGTTCCTTGTAGATAGAAAGGGGCAGCTCCAGGACCCGGCCGTTGGAAATTGGGAGGCGGGGATGTGGCTTGATATTGATGATGCTCTGAAGAATACATACGAGTGAGCTTGATCTAAGGAAGACCAGTCAGGCTGGACATACCTTGTGGAGGTGGTCCTTGAGGTCCAGGAGTGTAGTATCTTTGAGGGTCCTGCGGCCCTGGCGGCGCCGAACCCTGAGGTGCGTAACCCGGACCTGACGGGGCAGCACCATAACCCTGAGGCATAGGGGGGCCTGCTCCATAGTGGTGATAATTGTGAGAGGGCGGGTGGGCCATTGACGACTCTAATAGAGACTCGTAGTCTCTCCTCGCTTTGATAAACTTCTCATTCAGTTGGGTGAAGTCGTCTTTCTTTTGCGAGTACTTCTCGATTAATTTGATCAACTTCGGCCTGATTGCTAATGTTTGATGGTATAATTTCTGACCAAAAAGGAGTTAGTATTTCCCCGGCCAACCATTTCGGGACGGGGAAAGGGCTTCTTACCGAAATCTCCTCATTATCCTCTTCTCGCGGTGCCGTATTGGATGTGCTTAACAAAGTGAGCAGTTTCTCAACATTCTTGATCTCAGCAAAGACCTCGGCTTCCATCTGGGCCTCCCTTTGCAACTCGTCGGGGGTTGGGTCGGTGAGCTTCTCGACGTAGTTCAGGGGAAAGATGCCAGTGTTTCCCTTGAGAGAACCGCGCCACCAGTCCTTGAAGACAGACTCCAGTACAGCGATGACGTCGCCCTTCTTGAATTCCAACTCGCCGGGTTCTGAAGGAACAAAATCGTACAGCGCACGAACCCGCGACACGGTGGCAGCCGTTGTACCGGTGGGGTGGGAGGGTATAGGGGCTGGGGTTCCAGCGCCTTGGCCGTGACCTGCACTAGAGCTAGGCCCAGCGGCGGACGAGCTACTCTTCTTCTTTTCCTCTTCTTGTAAGGATAGCTTGAGGGCCATCTGCAACTCTTCCTCCTCTTTCTGGCGATCCAGGTCAGTGAGACCAGTCTTCTGCGGGGCAGAAGGTGGTTGGAGAGTCGGGTTGGTCTGCTTCAAACGGTAGTAGGCATCGTACATGATACCGAGGTCGGCATCCTTGCTGAACATGTCGGACCATTCCTTCATGCGCTCGAGTATCTTGGCCTTGACCTGGTGGTGTGTGTTGCGATCGTTGGCCAGCTTGAGGAGGGAGTCGGTGAAGGAGCGACTGGCAAGCTCGCGGTGCATGGGCTTTCCGCAGTTCTGGGAGAGGGCATTGGCAAGTTCAAGGGTGTACAGCTGGACATTGGCATTTCGATGTGCCAGGCGCTTGATCAGGCCCTGGGTGACTTGGTTAGGACCGTTTGAATCGCTGGATACCTTGTCGCAGAGGTCGATAATGGCGCCCCAATCTTCAGATGTCAGGTTTTCATCGGTCGCCTTATCTGTAGGACACGAGGAGAGGTAAGCGATGGGAAGATTACAAATAGTATAGGGATGGTGGCTTTACTGATGCCTTCATCGTACGGGCTGTTCGCGGCGCCGCGAAACATGGTGACGAATATCTATGGTCGCTCTGTCGATAGAGATTATGAATTAGGTAGATAGACTCTTTCTCGTGGTTTCATTCACGTGTGACAGACTTGTGAGAAGTAATGACGGATAGGAGATCGTAGGTAAATGGAGGAAGGTAAGGTAAGGTAAGGTAAGGTGTTGGTGGGAAGTTGGCTGATGGAAGGCAGTGGTGACGATGTTCAGCACCTCCTCACATCATTAGCCCAAGCTACAGGTTTGCTGTAGCCTGGTGGATTACGTACCGTACAGCGCAATCCATTGACGCCACACGAGAAGCTCAAGGTAACCCACCTCAATTAGGTAAGTACGGCTAAAAACAGCAATTCCCCGCCTCCCATCAAGGTTAGGTACTAGTCCCGATTCACACAGTCTGGACCAGGTCCATGGTGAGATCATAGTATCTTATTACACTCTACTCAACACAGCTCCCTCCCATTGACGTAACCTCTATCTACATTCGACAAGCTTTTCCAGATCATATAATGCCGACTTTCAACTCTCTCAGAGTTACTTAAACCGTTGGAGTGCAATGCTCTCGCTTATCTCAATTGTAGCCATACTATATCGTGGGCGATTAGAAGTTATTTAGTATCTGTCAGAGGGGTGATGTCACGCGGTAACATAGTGACAAACTCATGCCACTCTATTGGCTGCTTTCTCGACACTGTTACCCCCGAGACAGTGAGAATTTCCTACATCGCAGTTTCCTCTACCAGGTAGGTGATCCTTGTTGCTTTCGGAAGTAGGGAGTCGGGAATAGACTAGAATAGAGTGCTAGCAGAGGAGAGCGAGTGTAGCAGATTTACAGAGTTTATAGGGTGACTGATTTGATATTCTTTCGACAAACATTGTTGGAGCCCACGGGGGCTTCCAACTCTGGAGGTCACTCGCTGGACAGTCTGCTAACATCTTGGAGCTACTAAAATGCTGCCCTCCCCCATAGGTGGGTAGCTGCTTGGTTGAATATCATTTTTGTGCGACTGATACGATAAATTGATCTTTTCCCCCTTATCCTCCGAAGAGTAGAAGAGTTACAATCCAAGGGAGCCCATGAGCGGAACGCCCAATATTGCGCCAGTCCACAAGGGTGCTCAGGTGCCATATCTTCACTTGGCAGCAACATATTTCACGAACAGTTCCAAGATCTCAGCGATTATAGAGTCAAAAGCTCAAGGAAAGCGAGACAGACAAGACATAGGCATCGCCGACGTCTCGCTGAATGCCCCAAGTCTTATCTATTCAAGAGGTTAGGATGGAAGTTTGACATCAGTACCGATTTTGAACCTGGAAGGTATCAATGCAGCCGACAGTTAGCGATGAGAGATCGGTCAGCAGGCTGAGATCAACAAAGACAAGACGGACATCGACCAACCCAGTGGTCATGTACTCGAAGAGCTTGCTAAGTATCAGGGTTCTGTCAATTAGCTCGGCGTACATAGACAGCGCCTCATTGTCCGCATTGAGAAAGTGCGAGCCCCTATGAATAACATAAACATAGAGCTTATTGCGGAATATGCGTGGGAAGCGCTTCGTCAGGTCCACATTGAGCAAGTCAAATAGCTCCGCAGCAAGTGAAAGTCCACGCCGATTTTCTAGTCTAATTTGTCTCTGCATCTTCAGAGTCGACATGACACGCGCCTCCGTCAAGCGAAAATTAGGTCCAGTGCATAATGCTACCTCGACATCAGGTAGCTTGCTGCTCCAGGCTCCAATGATCTCGCAAAACACGAAGCATTGATAA